TCAGGATACTCAGGTGCCATCACCCAGAACGATGCTAAGGGACATACCCTTCTTTGCTTTGCTGTTTTGTTCTCTCAGTAGGCAGCTCAAAGAGATCATATCACCCTTCTGCCATTAAATGGGTGAGTGAGCCAGCCATACATTCACCTTTCTTCTTTCCTCCTGTGACAATGGCAGCAAGTCTCTCCTTCTTACCAATGTTTATCTTTCTGCCTATGCTTGAGACGCCAATGCCTTCTGTCAATTTTTCCTTCATAACTTTCATCTCAAATCTTTTCTTGGTATATTACCATCAAATGCAAACACACTCAATTCTTTCCCATAAGAAAAGCAGGAAAGAAGAAATGTCAACACCATCTTTTGTGACACACCAGCTAACCTTATTATCCTTTCTACTTTATGTCTGTTCTACCCGTGTCCTATAGAACTATCATCAAACTCAGGATACTATGGATGGGTCCCCATGAGGAAGGGTGCACATGGGAAGCTGAGGATTGTAAGAACATTTTCAAGCAACTAGTGAGAGTTACTCAGGTCAGGCAGCAGATAGGTCAAAACAGACCAGGATAGCAATACTGCCAAGGAAGTGTATGTGCCCCATAAGAGGAAATGAAAATAGCTCACAGTCTCAAACAACAGTAAATATAGAGATATATAGATATAGATATCCATGATTCCTCACCAAATTACTCTAACCGCAATGGAATCAGAGAAATATGGATATATAAAATGAAAAGCAGAAATACACATGAATGGATATCGAAGTGAGAAAAAACAAAAATCAGCATGAAAAATTGGTCACAGTCTATGACCATACTGCCTTGTAGATCACATGATCTCATCAGATCTCAGAAGCTAAGTAGGGTTGGGCCTGGTTGGTACTTAGATGAGAAAACTGACTATAAATAGTCCTTGCTAGCATTCTGATCAGGAATCTCTTCAGAGACCCATGTGGTAAAACAAATGCTTGGTCCCCCAGTCAGTGACATCAGGGAGTGATGGGACCTTCAACAGGTTGATGGGGTCTAAATGAGGTCTTAAGGTCCTTAGAGGTGCCCTTGAAAGTAATTGTGGAAACCTAGCCTCTTTCTCCTTCTCCTTGCTCCCAACCCATTGATAAATAACTTTGTTCTACCATAAGCTATCCTAGCACAAGCCCAAAAGCAATGGGTCTACTGACCATAGATTAGAACATATAAAACCATGAGCCAAGACAGATCATATCTCTCTATAAGTTTCTTACCTCAGGTACTTGTCAGGGTAACAGAATGCTGATAGACACAGTATCCAATTCAGAAAACTAAGACATAAGTCTAAAGTGCAAGAGTATACGACCTCATTCATACTGCTACCTTTAGGAATGACATTGTGGGCCAAAATAAAGCCCCTGGTACCCTTCTTCATCACAAGGCCAGGTATCTACTCTCTCCAACAAAGTAGAAAACTAGAATTTTACTGTGTACATAAAGACTAATGAGGATCTAAATTCAGGAATACTAGTCACTGTATTAGAGGCTAGGATAAATGGTGTATTGAAAAAAAAGGAGGGAAGGAAAAAGAGAAGGAGGGTGGGAGGGAGGATGGAGAAAGAGGAGAAGAAGAGAAGTAGAGAGAAAACAGAGTACTAGGAGCCCAAGTTACCATGTTATCAGCAGATATTTAAGAATTCCTTTCTGGGAAATAGAGCCAAATGCTAAAAAAGAAATGAAGTTGTTAAATGGGATCACTGACCTCACTGAATGAATACCTCTGGTCACATACATAAAAATTCAAAATCAGCTCTACTATTTCACTCTTAAATATGATCATGAATCATAAAGTATGCAAAGAAGCCTTTGTAATAAAAAGTATGGTGGGGGAAACCTAGAACTTGAAGGAAGAAAAAGAAAACTTTAATTAATTTTTAAGAGATAGAGTTGCAGAAATAATAGAAAGAAACCTCTCAAAAAATTAAATAAGGCAGAAAATAAAAATGAAAAAATTAAAAAAGCAAAAACTTGGTGACAGAGTTTAAAATATAAAGTTGCCTACATTTATTGAACATTTACTGTATGCCTACAACATTCTGGAGATGGTTTTTAACAGTAGATACCTCAGAAAAATATTATGCCCTGGAATACAAGTAAAGACAATGAATGAAAGGCGAAAGTGCGCTAAGCTGTACCAAACGCTGCTGATCAGGTGGTGATTTAAACTAAGAGACTTCTGTACTCAAAGGGGTGCTATTAACTATGCCAGAAGAACAGGCACAAACCAGCACTCTTCTGGGAAACTAGGATTTGGCCATCTTAGTGATAAACCAAAGTGATGTTTTATAATTAATTGAGGCTTTCAGTAAGGGAGACGTTAGCAGTGATCCTGGACAACAGTAATTACAGTCAAAGAGAAGAGGCAGAGCCTCCTGATGGAGGGGAGGAACTGGAGAAAGGTAGTAGAGCCATCTGTGGGGAACAGTTTCCCACAGAATCCAGAGATGGAACAACAGCTGACAGAAGTGGGGTTAACAAGATGGGAGAGAAAAATGGCACATTCCAATTTGGGTTGGACTACTCCAGAAAAAAAGCCAAAGATCTTCAGTACCATTACTATTAGCCTATTGGTAAAAGCACAGAGGAACATTTCAACTCATAATTCTTCCTTTACTTCTGTAAAATAAAGAACTAAAGAATAAAAAAGCTGAGGCTTCCACGAAGCCTAGTGAACTAGCACAATCTCTACATTAAAAATTAAATATTGCTGATATGAATTAAAAAATGGTTTAAGTATGTGGGGGAAAGAATATAAGTATTCATATAATCAAAGTCAATACTTGTAAGGTATCTATTTTGCTAGAATGGATACATATTAATGAAATTTTATTAAGACTCAGCCAAAACTGCTTTTGTTAGAATTTTACAAGCTAATTCTAAAGTTTCTATAGAAATGTGAGCAAGGGCTAGCAAGATGGCTCAGTGGGTTTTAAAAGAATTTACTGCCACACCCAAGGACCTGAGTTTTATCAAGACCCACATGACCTAATTGACTCTCTTATGCTGTTTTCTGATCTACGCACACACATGCACATGCACACACACTCTTAAAAAGGAATGTAAGCAAACAAAAACACACTCAAGAAGAATGAGAAAATTTCAAATAATACCTAGAAATAGACCCATGCTGCCAACACAGGCTAATGGAGAAACAATATATTTTCAGCAAATGATGCTGGAAAAACTGCGTCTCCATACTGAGAAAAATAAAGACCTAACCACCAATTTTGGTCTACATAAAAGGCATAGGTCTATCAGTAAAGCAAACTATAAAGCTTCTAGAAGAAACAGAAGAATATTTTCATGACATTAGAGAAGACATACAAAGCAGTAAATATAAAACAACAAAGCCAAAATGTATATTATTTCATAAAAACAAAAAAATTTCTATACTGGGGGTATAGCTTAGTAGTAGACAGACATAAATTAGACCCAATATATTGTTAATGTGCATATAAAGTGGACATCCACTTTAGTCCACTTTAGGATAGCCACAAATAGGACCACATAAAGCCTTCCCATTGCTTAAATAAAAGACAACAGAGCATGGAAGAACCTCCAGGTTTAGCTAGCCAATTCTCTAGCATTATCTTACAATTAACTAAAATACAAGAATGATTTAAGATAAGGAAAAATGTCAACAAAATGTACTTGACTTTTCCGATCCTAAAAATTCTAAGGTGGAAGGTGTCTAAAGTTCATTTAGTTTTTATTATATAAGATTGAGATTTCTGATGCTGACATATCTTTTCCAATAAACAGATTGGGCAAAGTATTCGAGATCATATTTGACATAAAGTAGACAAACGATGCTTCACAAATAATGATTCTTTACCTTTTCTTTGAAAATTGAACTAAATGGAGAGCATTACAGGGTTAGTGATCTTGGCTAATGAACATCATAGTATCACTGAATAAATGAATAGAACAATTCAAAAGTTCTAGATAATTTATGTACCACAATTAATTAAAAAAATAAGTATCACTGAAAAACAATTTTAAAAGGTTTATATTTTCACTATCCAACATAAATATAATACAGACTATTAAATGAATGCTGTACATACATGTTAAACACAAGCAATATTAGGTAACATTTTGATATTATAAATTCCAGCACAGAGGGGAAGGGATGAGCACAAAGCCCCACTGCTAGCTGAGGAGCAACTGGCATCTGATAACTGCAGGCAGAGATGTCAGTTTTCTTTAAAGGTCTGACTCCTGGCAGGTGGTCTATACTCCAGGGCATACTCCACACCCAATAGTATCTGGGCAACACAAATTGGACTCAATGCATTGGGAAGATAAGGAAGGGAACTCGAATTTGGGTTGGTAGGGAGGTGGAATTATATCTGGGAGAAGCTGGGAGAAGGGAAATGGAGATGATCAAAATTGTATGAAACTCTCAAAGACTAAGAATATTACTTAAAATTTTAATATATGTAAAGCAAGCACATGTATTCTGTTCAACAGCGAGTACATAAAAAGTATTATCATTTTAATATATAATCAGTGTAAAAATTTTAGATTTTTATGTTCTTATTTTTACCAAGTTATCAAAATCCTATGAACAGCCTATATAACATATTACAATTTTACACATTGAATATTACACATTTCAAGTGCTCAGTAGTATGGTTAGTGGATAGTGGATATCAACACTTACTAATTAAAAACTGTTTTAGAGACTTAACTGGATTATTTCAGTCAAAATTAGCTGAGATGCATAGAGAAAAGTGATCCAGGTTCTGATAGTGACAGAGTCAGGGGATTCTAACTCAGTCACTACCATTCTATCCCACACCTAATCAAAATTCTTTTTCTCTACGACAAAAAATGTTCAAATGAACAAACAAATATCTAGATTCCTATTGATAAGAATGTTTTGAAGCTTAAATTTGTGGTCCCACTAAAAAACACAACAAAATTGTTTTCCTGGCCACAATTTCAAATCTGAAAGAAAAGACTTACCAGTAATATGAGTTTCTGATACTTTTGCTTTAGGTCTGACACAGTTGCAGATGGGTCTGCCCCCAGAATGCTGTACCAATCCTTTTTGAGTGTCTGCTCAAAAGCCATCAGCGTCCTTTGAACTAGAATGGGGCCTTCTCTGATAACCTGCAGCAGAAATGTTATTGCAATTCATTACAATCAAAATAAAGAAATATTGCTCTCTAAATTATTTATTACTTAAGTAAATTGTGATCATAATGCAAGCCCAAGAAAGTTTATACTTCCATTTTAAATGTCCCATAAATGCCATGTACAAGGATATAAAGACACAGAAAAACTATTAGATATTCCATGGTATATGCGTATCACTTAAAAAAATGTATAATGTCATAAAAGAGAATTTGATAATAAGCCTGGGTGATGGATGGGCTTCTAAGAAGGTATTTCTTATAGTCTAATGGCAAGACTGGCATGTAGGTGCTCACTAAACACACTGGAGCTTAATAAGTATTTATGAAACGAATAGATAAAAGAAATGGAATACCAAAGAAAGAAATGACAGCACAGCAAGGGCTTGGGGAGAGGGGAGTCCTCTTGCTAGGGCAAAGATCTTCACAGCCGGTAAAGACATCCCTCCCGAAGCTATGCACTCCAGGATGCCCACAATCCTCCCAGCTTTAGAAGGCAGCTCACCATGAAGCAGCTGGAGCTTAGAGACTCGCGGCGTCCACGGTCCGCTCAACCCAGGCTGGCCCAGCTGATGCCTTCCCCTGGCTCCACACAGCATCAGACTTACCACGCTTCACACTAGAGCAGGAATCCACTTGCTGCCGCCGCGGGACGGAGCACGGAACCCACTTTCTTTTCCGCCGGAAGTCGGAGTGCAGCGGGAGTGTGTTTCCAGTCGCGCCCTAGTTGTCGACGCACAAATCTGAAGGGCCCCGCCTCCTGCCCGGACGCGGTCGTTATGGTAACTCGTCTGGGTTTCTGAGGTTTCTGTCAACAGTGATACAAGTCAGGGAGAACTGCCTTTGCTCGTCTTGCTCTAACTCTCCCTTGGCCCCGGCGGCACCACGATTGTTGGATTTCTCCACATCTCCTAAGGTGCACCTTCATCCCAGGTTCCTCTTACCTTAGAGTCCTATTTGTTTATACTGGGGGGCGAGGAGTTGGCGATAAGGATGAGGATGGCTAACATATTATGTCTAATAATCATTTCCGTTAGACCTTAGCAACTTACTTAAAATATTCTTAAAAATGCAGATCCTTTCCCATTTACTACCACCTCTTTACCGCTTTCACTTCATCCCAGTGAGACAGCTGCGGAAGGTGTTGCTAGAACTACTTTGTAGATGAGGAAACAAATCAAAGATAAAAGCAGATATACACAGGTGTGTAGAGCTAGCATTCTTAACAGAATGAATGTCATCTATGAATCATTTAAGTAGGGGTTACTCAAAATGAGCGCGTTTGAGTGTGCTGCTATGCTCTCTCTCTCTCTCTCCCTCTCTCTCCCTCTCTCTCTCCCTCCTTTCCTCCCTCCCTCCCTCCTTCCCTCCTTCTCCCTCTCCCCCCTCTCTCCTTCCCTCTCCCCCTCTCTCTTCCCTCCCTCTCCTCTCTATTCGTTCTTTAAATTAACCCTTCTCTGTGTGTCTCACTTTGCCTTGATCTCTTCTCATTGTGTCTGGAGATGAGAATCATCTTAGTTTTGAGACCTTGGTATGATCTCTATTGGAGATACAAAGTAGTTTTGGTGTTGCTACTTTCTTAGAAGTACTTTCCCTTTAGTCTTTTTTCTTCCAAATATTAATCCAAGAAGCATCAAAGATAAAATTAAGTAGGAAATATTCTAATAGGATAAATTATTTAATGCTATGAGCATTGCAGAACATATACATTGCAGAATGATACAGTTGACTTTAAAATCTAAATATAAAAGCACAGATTAAGTTTCTCCAATGGGTGGATTTTGTTATGTTTAAAGAAAAGATCATTATACACTGAGAGGATCTAACTTCAGGCCTGGACTTAGAAAACTATATGTATGGGCCTACCAAAATACATAAATACATAAATACATAAAGCAGCAAAAGTAAGTATTGTGAATCTCTTCCTCTACAATACTGTAAGAAATCCCCTTTTAATTTTTCTAACCCTCAAATAATCCTTTTTGACCCTTTTCTGTATACAGAAGTGTGTTCTAGAAGTCCAGTTTTTAGAACAAACGTTTTGATATACTATTCCATTAAGTTATTGTGTCATTTATTTTATTTAGCCACTTTATTTGATATTTCCATAGGAACCTCCCAAATGCTTTTCATTTTTATCTCCAAGAACTTTAGTTTGCTGAACTAAATCAGATAAACTTTTTGCTTTATCTCCAAGGTGTCCTTAATCAACCTAAACTGTCAATATTTAATTGATATCATCCAATATAGACATTCTCTTTAACTTTCTCTGATTGTTTCAAAGATGTTTTATGGGTGTTTTGCTTGAATATGTATCCAAACACTTAAAACATTGAATCTGGTGGTTCTGTTTCTGAAAATACATTTGATCAGACTCACTTCTTCGCTAACAACTTATTTCTGTTGTTGTATTTAGTTCATTGAAAAAAAAAACAAATGCTTTGTCTTATAATCCAAATTATTAATGTTTGAGTAAACTCCACAAGGTGATTGTTACATGGATCACTAATCATTAATTTTCATTTTAGAACAGTGTCATTCAACAGAAATATAGTAAATCCCAAATACAAGATGTATTGTGACTTTGAAAATATTATATTTGACATCCAGTGTAGTTTCATTATAAAATGGAATCATGTAAATCAGCACCTCTCAGTTTGGAATTTTCAATTTTCAATAGCCTCATATTATTAATGGCTATCACACTGAGCAAACCAGGTCTAGAGAATGAAGTCGTAACTCTTTTACAATTGCATTAAATTTTATTGTGTATATATTTGTATGTGTGTAGGTGTGCCACAGCATGTGCTAGAGGTCAGAGTACAATTTATGGGAGTCAGCTTACTCCTTCTACCATGTGGGACCTGAGGACCAAACTCAGGTTGTTAGAATTGACAGCACTTGTTTTACATTCTGAGTTACATCTCCACCCTAAAGTCCTAACTTTTTATTCTGGCATTTTCTATAGTAGTTGAATCTTTAGAAAATACTTCTTTCAACTTCCATAGCAAATTCTATAAAATACTCATTTGTACTCTTCCAATTCCATGATGCATTATTGTCTCTAGAAATATGTTCTGTAACTATTTCCCCAATTTGGATTGCCAGCCTTCTGGAAGAAGAAACCTTTCTTATTTGACAAGCTAAGCACTGGGAGCTGTCTTGCCTCACTTTTCCAACTTCTAGTGATGAGTTTCTGATCTGGACTAGGTCATAGTCATACTTCAGTGACAGGGACCCAAGGCCTAGTAGACCAGGAGATGAGAAGATTAAAAAGGTAGGAAATCTGGCGTCTGGAGGTCTTACACAAACTGTCTTATACCAAGCAAACTTATTAAGAAGTACAGCATCTTATATATGGTTTTAAGCTAGGGAGGACACACTCAGAAGAAAGCTATCATACAACAGGGTGAAGTCAGCAGGAAGCTAGTCAAGCAATGTTGCACAAAGGGAACACAGGCTATCTCAAGCGTATGACAAGGACCTTGGGGCTGATAACCATAACCTTTTGCTGGGTAGGGATAGCTGATTTCTCAGGAAAACCTCAGCTTCTCTAAGACCCTGTCCCCAGGCTATTACTAGCTCTTCCAAGTATGTTCATGGTTTTAGACAAGTAACTGTGTTCCTGCTCCATAATTAGGGTCTCAAGGAAAAGCTCCCTAGACCCTGGCCGCAAACCGTTACTGGCTCTGCCAAGCATGTTCCTAGTTTTAGTTCCTTCTCAGGCCTGGGGAAAGCCTTGTATCAGCTTGGTTTCTAAGAAGCTCCTAAAATAGGTTTGTTTCTTACTGACTTATTTTCAGAAGCAAACTTATCAGTCATAAGCATAAACTATTGGGTTGTAATGATGGCTTAGTGCTTAAGAGCACATACTGCTGAGTTTCATCTGAGTTTCATTCCCTTCATATCTCAAATCCTGTGTAATTCCAACTCCAAATGGAACCAACCTCTCTGGCCTCTGAGGACAGCACTCACATGAACTTTCAATTAATTAAAAATAGAATAAATATAAAAGATTTTTAAAGGAAACATAAACTATGTGATAGTTAAGAACATGAATTCTACAGCCAAGCTGCATAGCTTCAGCTCAGACTGCCTCTTCCTGGCAGTGAGAACTTGTAAGAGTTAATCCCTCTGTAACCTGCTTTATTTCTCTGTCAATAGTTGCATGTGTAATGCCTCCTTTGTGTAAGTGAAATAATGGTGCCTGAAATCAGTAAGTATTTAGCAAAGGTGGAGTGTTACTACTAGTAGTAAAAAAATAAAAAGCTTCTTAGTTTTAATATAACAGTAAACACTCATGGCAGCTTTCCTATATACCATTCTGCTTCTCAGCTGCCACACAGAAAGCAGTTTCCTCTGCCCAAGATGCCCTACCTTGTTACAGACTTGGAACTTAAAACACTTACCAAAACAAATGCTTTTTCGTTTTAAGTTGGTCATCTCCAACATTTTATTGTAGTAACAGAAAGCAAACTGGCACAACAGCTCTACCTTTTCTTTACAAACCAGCTTTTGTTTCTCCCCTAAACTTGCAAAATTTGCTCTGCTGTCTTGTCACCTCACCAGCATTATCAGTGAACATTCAGGGTTTGTACACAGCCATGTACTTAGTGAGAGTGACTGATCGGGAAGTACATTTGGTTACCACACCTGCTATTGTTGTCTCTTGTTTAGTTCTATTTTATCTGTGTTTTAAATTCTTGGGGAGTCTTTATCTTACCTAGGGTTTTGTTCCTGTATTCTTCAGACCTGTGTTTTAACCATCCCAGAACCATTAGAGATACTGTCCTTAAACCATCTTCGGCCATCATAGTACATGCCAACTTATTTTCAGCATCTTGCTCTTTTACATCTCTGTCTCTTCTTGTCACCACTCTGGCTTCTGCATACTTCCTAGATTCCCTAGAACACAAGGCAATCCCTTTCAATCAGGTGAGAAAATGCAGTTATATGCTGCTTTTTATAGCATTCTTCCTTCTCCATTTTTACTTTTTAGAAAAAGTTAATTTTTGTCATGTAATTGACTCATGGAAGAAAGGTTAATCTGGATGATCAAGGGGTGTTAATTTGTGGGTTAAAATGTGTTAAATAGTTGATATGAAGTCTGTTTAAGTCAATTAGAGTGTATAATGAAGATGTTGCCAGGGTGTTAGGGAACCTTTGGAGTTAGTTTGGAATTCACCAGTACATGTTGACTGCAGCACCTTGTTTAAAATGCAACTGCATATGAATAGGTGTGCACATGTAGAAGATGCTTGGCTTTATTAATATGACTTACCTTTTATTATGGGAAATGAAACCCATCATTTGTTCATCGTTATTAAGATGGACATGTGATTAGTAACATTATTGCCTCTCTTACTTATAATGGTCCTCTGAAATAAACTGCACCTGCACTGCATAACCAAGGAAGCATTCCTAGCTTTTTGTTTGTTTGTTCCTTTGTCCCTAAAAATTTTTTTCAACAGCATCATTAAACATTGAATGGAGAAAGACATTCAGATTTAAATAAATGGTTTGTTTCTTCTGTAAAATTGCCCACAGTGATCTTATGAGACACTGTCGTATTGGTTAATACCATCAAAATTTCAAAACAGTTATTTTTATGTAGACCATAGTGTTATGATGCATACATTTCAGTAGTTGAATTCAAGTTGATGCAAGAGTACAGCATTGCATCTTCCACAGTTAACTCCAAAAAGGAATGAGTCAAAACCCCCATATTTTAAACTATGTTCTTTTCCTCAGCATATGGGCTGCTGTGGTACTATTTGTTACTGCTTACACCAGTTTACTAGCGATAAACACATTTAGCATTGCAGCTTCAACTCACAGCCCTCCAATTTAATCATTAGAGATGGATGAAAAACAAGTCTCCTTTGCTAATGGGCTTTCAGCACTGATGGAGCCAGTGCCAAGATGATGGAAGCATGCAGTTGAA